CTCCACCGGTCAGGGGCTGTTCTTTGTGCTACCATGCATGGCTTCCGCCACTGATCGGGGATCTCCTGACCCAGGTCAATCCAAATCCAGGTCAGTCAAGCTTTGCAACATCCTGCAAGATCCTGCGGGATCCTGCGCCCTAACCTGGGTCAATGCAACCCTGGCTATCTGCTTGATCGTGCAAGATCTGGCGCTCTGGCTGACCCCCGTTTGCATTGCCCCTCTTTCTCCTCCTTCTCCTCCCCTCCTCCTCCTCTTCCTCCTCCTCCTCCCTACCCCTCCTCCTCCTCCTCCTCCGCCTCTGCCTCCGCCTACGCCTCCGCCTCCGCCTCCCGTCATCCTCACCCTCCTCCTCCTCCTCCTCCTCCTCCTCCTCCTCCTCCTCCTCCTCCTCTTCCTCCTCCTCCTCCTCCTCCTCCCCTTCCTCCTCCTCCTCCTCCCCCCATCCCTTGAGCCCCAAATTCATCATCCCCCACCTTTCCCGGTCGCACTTCGCCGCACGCAGCGCCACCCACCTTCCCGAGGCCATAATCCTTCGCAATATATATATATATATATATATATATATATATATAGATGTGTGGCAGGTTCCCGCTCTCGAGGCCCAGTATCGCTCCAAGACTTGCCACGTTGGCCCCAAGGCGGTTCAAGATGGCACCAGGACGGCCCGCGAGGCCGTCGAGACGTCACAGGAAAGCCCCAAGAGCCTTCCCAAGAACTTGTTTGATGTTTTCGGGTTCTCGCCTTTTCGACCTTCCGTCGTCTCAAGACGGCCCACGAAGCCACCGGGACCGCCCAAAGACCGCCCAACCCCAAGCGGGTCCCTAGACGGCCTGAGAGGGAGCCAGGAAGGCCCAAGAGGCGCTCCCGAATGCCAAGAAGGCCCCAAGACTTCCCCAAGAAGGCTCTCGAGGGCGAACGCGAACCGACAATTCGAGCCTTCCGCCCCAAGAGGGCCCCGAGATTCACAAACCATTGTTTTGTGTTCTCGCCTATAAGAGCTTCCGACGCTTCAAGACACCCCATGAGGCACACAAGACTCCCCGAGACGGCTCAAGAGACCCCTAAGAGACTTCCAAGACGGCCCCAGGTGGCTCCTAAACGGCCGAAGAGGCGCCCGCAACTGCCCAAGAAGGCCCCAAGATAGCCCCAAGAAAGGTCCAAAAGTGAAAACACGAGCCCATTCGAGCCGTCTGCCCCAAAAGACCTCCTTGCCTTCTCGAGTGGTTGCCAACCAACATGCTGCGCTGGCACGGTGGCGGAATTGCTGGAGGCAGCTGGATACGAAACACACTTTGCGGCAAAATCTGGTTCATGCTCGGGCGCCCCACGATCACTTTGCATTGTTATTTGCTATGGGATGGTGGGGGTGCCCTGGCACACGCGGCGGACCTCGCGGGCGTGGCGCACCAGATCCCGAGGATTGCCGATGGCGGCCCACGCTCATGCCGAGGCTCCGGTGCTACCTTGTGGTGGGAGGGCGGGCGGGCGTAAGCTACACGGCCGTCCTTTGGTGGGGGCGCCTGATCACTGTTTCTGACTACCTATATATACAAATAGACACATACAGGTATACATATATGATACTGCAAATAAAGTGTGTATAAATACAGTGTAATGTATCGGGATTGATGCATGTGCATATGTATACACATACTCCCTCCTCCACTCAACGGCGACACATCTGAGCCAATGCTGAGACCCCCCAAACATCACTTGCAACAAACAATGCTCATCTCACATCGCTCCACAATTTAGATCATACGCGGACGCCCCGTGATCACGTCGCATTGGTTTTTGACAGGGACGGCGGGGGGGCGGCATATTGCCAGATGTGCGGGCCCACCAGACACAATCATTGCCACCCGGCCGCGCGAGACAGGGCCCGGGCAACACGAGGAGAGGAGGGCAAGGAGGTTGGCTTGAAAGGAACAGGTTGCTGAGGGAAACAGGCCTTGGAACCCGGGCCCTTCCCCCAGGACCAACTTTTCGTCCTGCGTCGCTTCCTGACAAATCCCCGGGCCCGGAAGAGTGGGAAGGAGGCGGGAGCCCGAAAACAATGAAGAATCTCGGGACCCGATCGCTTCACGGCGAAAGAAGGAAGGAGAGACAAACAAAGCACACGCTGGGAACCGTGCGAGGAAAGGGCAGAGGCCAGATCATGCGGTCGCTCTGGCCTGTTGGTTGGTTGGCCTTTTGACTAGGGAAACTTACGACGCTGGCCTGAGCCACGAGCCCCCCCTACGTTCCCTTCGAATGAAGCTGTGATCGAGGGCGGACTTTTGCCCAAAACCCCCGACGTCATGATTTTTCCCAACCCTCCTGCGTTGGGTACTCGTTTTGAATAGAGCACTGCGGTCTCCACCTTCCTTCCTTCCGACCTCCTCCCCCTCTCTTCCCTCTTCCTCTCCTCTCTTGCTTCCCTTCTCCGCCTCTCTTCGCTCCTCCTCTTCTCTTCTCTTCTTTTCTCTTGCCTTTTACGTCATCTCTGGGGGGCTGCGATCTGCGGAACTGTCACCACTTTCGAGGGCTGCTGGTGGGTCCAGCGGAGTGAGGCACCACGGGGACTCAGATTAGACCTCGCCATCCCTGGGGGGGGGGCTGCGATCTGTGAAACTGTCGCCACTTTCGAGGGCTGCTGGTGGGTCCAGCGGAGTGAGGCACCACGGGGATTCAGATTAGACCTCGCCATCTCTGGGGGGGGCTGCGATCTGTGAGCCTGTCACCACTTTCGAGGGCTGCTGGTGGGTCCAGCGGAGTGAGGCACAAAGGGGATTCAGATTAGACCTATCCATCTCTGGGGGGCTGCGATCTGTGAAACTGTCGCCACTTTCGAGGGCTGCTGGTGGGTCCAGCGGAGTGAGGCACCACGGGGACTCAGATTAGACCTCTCCATCTCTGGGGGGCTGCGGTCTGTGAAACTGTCGCCACTTTCGAGGGTTGCTGGTGGGTCCAGCGGAGTGAGGCACCACGGGGACTCAGATTAGACTGTGTGAAACTGTCGCAACTTTCGAGGCTGCTGGTGGGTCCAGCGGAGTGAGGCACCACGGGGACTCAGATTAGACCTCGCCACCCCTGGGCGGCTGCGATCTGTGAAACTGTCGCCACTTTCGAGGGCTGCTGGTGGGTGGCCAGCGGAGTGAGGCACCACGGGGACTCAGATTCCTGACCACGAGCAATGCTCGCGTGCCCTTGCTCTGCGGTTCGTGCCATCGCTACCGTCCTTCGAGGTTGCCCATCGGGCCCTCTAACAAATATATTCACGCATGCTGTCGGCCTGCAGCGCCGTACTGGTGGCTGAAGAAAGGCGCCTGCTCCGCGGTCTTAGCAGCGCGCGGGGCCGAGGCGTAATTGCCGACGCGCGCAAGCTGGCGCCTTCGCTAACCGCGCTTCCAAGTTGCCTGTCAGGCGCTCTATAACCACAGCCACAGCGGCATCGCGGAATTGGATTTCTGCTGAAAGAGTTTCTCGCGTGGGGAGAGGGATGGAGGGGAGGAGGAGGGGGAAGAGGAACAGGATGATGAGGTTGTCTCCAACGCAGAGGTGGCCGGGCTCATGTGAGACAACCGCGCAGCTCTCCAAGAAGGCGCTGCCACCGCAAGAAAGAGCGAGCCGCCATGGCCCGCGGCGCTGGCGTTCGCTTGGAAAGCGGACACCCTCGCTTGAATTTCAATGTCAATTGGAGCAAAGTGTAGCTCAGAGGCGAGGTTGCCCATCGGGCCCTCTTATCATTCCACGTTCTTGACCGCGAGCAACGGTTGCGCGCCTTTGCTTCGCGGCGGGCGCCATCGCCGTCTGGGAATGCGTCGAGGTAGCCCATCGGGCCCTCTGACAGCTACCAACAAGCTCTTCCTCTTGGGCCGCTTTCCTGAATGGCGTCGCTATCGCAAGTTTGCACAATCTCGTTTCCCGTTGACTGAGAGCAACGTGGCCGATTTGCCAAATTCACCTCCTGAGTTACCATCCTGAAAGGCGACACTATTGCAAATTTGCAACAATTCGTTCCCGTTGATTGGTGGAAATGTTTGCGATAGTTCAAAGTCACCTCCTGTGTCTTACGTCGCCATTCTGAAGGGCGCCATTCTCGCATTTGTTCAAAAACATGGCTTCGTTGACAGAGCATCACCGACGATTTTTTTGCACGTTCACTTCCTACGCCACCATTCTGAAGGGCGCCACCATCGCAAATTTTCAAAAACATGGTTGCGTTGACAGCGCCACCGACGATTTTCATATTCACTTCTCACGTCACCATTTTGAAGGGCGCCACCATCGCAAATTTTCAGAAACATGTTTTCGTTGACAGAGCACCGTCGTCATTTTTTCACAGTCAATTCTTACGTTGCCATTCTGGAAGGCACCACTATCGCAAATTTTCAGCAACAAGTTTCGCATTGACAGAGGGTTGCTAAGGACATCCGCGTTTGCGTTCGTATGTTTTTGTTGAGATTGGTGACGAATTTCGTTTTCCGGCTAGGGTTGTCCGCATTCGCATACGTTCGTTTCGTTCACTGGTTTATACAAATTCTCATATGTTGCTAACAGCGTGTAGAAACAAGTTGATTTACCCACCTCCCCGACTTTGAGGCTGATTTGTGGGGTGCGCGTTGCCATTTGCTGTGTTTCTAAAGCGCTTCGGACAACAACCCGGTTGGCTTGTTGCATTTGCGTTGCCCACGCGATATTGATTTCTTGTGCTCTTTTAAAAAAGTAGTAAAGCATGCCGCCAAAGAACGTGCCATTGAGGCGCCACCGGGATTGCTTTTGCGTTTCCGGGCTAGGGTTGTCCGCACACACAGAGATTCGTTTTGTTTACGGGTTTGTACTCAATTGTATATGTTTGCCTACGATGTGAAGACAACAACTTGCTTTACACCCCCCCCCCCCGAAATCGAGGCTGATTTCTGGAGGGTGTGTTGGTTTTTGGTGGTTTCTTAGAATTAGTATTAAGTTGACGATTTTATCATATTGTGCTTGTGGTATCAACGTGCTACTATTTT